CACAGAAAATGGGGGGCAGCCGCATGCATCATGGACGTACGGGCGACGTCCATGACCATGCCAATGCGGCGCTCAGCAATCCCATTTTGCTGCGGGGAGTCCGGAAGCGTGAAGGACTGGCGGATGCCTCGCGCACGACAGTAGGCACGCAGAAGGCCAGAGGAGAACTCTCCGCCTCTGTCCGAGTGCAGACGCAACACAGGAAAGTCGGAGCCAAAGCTCTGCCTGAGCTGAAGACGAGCTGCGCGGATCCAGTCGATCAGCACCTCAGTGACCTCACCCTTGCTGCGCAAGGGGAAGACTGTGGTGTAACGCGAGTAGTCGTCAACAACGAGCAGGAAGTAGCGCTCCTGACCCTGTCCACGGACGCGGGCTGGGCCCCACACGTCCATGTGAAGCGTCTGCAACGGGGCCTCTGTCGGAGGAACTGGGAGGAGTGAGGGGCAGCACGCTAGCGCCCCTCGACACAGGGGACACAGGCAGGGCCAGGGCCCTGAGGAAGGGGAGGTAGAGACCGGGGGAGACCAGACACAAGAAGACGGGAGGCCATGCCTCTGAGCCGAAGCAGAGAGGGGTGGCCAAGGCGGTGGTGCCAGAGGAGGGTCTCGTGAGACAGACGACGACACGAACAGGGGGCAGACTCAGGACCAGACCTGGACGCTGCGGCAAACACCTGACCAGAGGAAGGGACCCTACCAGACTCAGCACCTGGAGGAGAAGCAGTGGTCAGTGTGTACAGGCTCGACCCTGGCCGACGTGTAAACGTAGCCAGGTGGCGTCCCGTGCTAGCCTCCGTGCAGTGGGTCACTCGCTGACGAGCAGGAGTGAACTGGTGGACACCCGCATCCTGTAGGTCAGCACCACTCACCAGGTTCGTCGAGAACGAGGGGAGGTAGAGACCAGACAGGGTGCCAGAGGGGGCCGCCGGACACGGAAGGACCGTGGAGAAGCGAGACAGGACAGGCCCCCCAGAGGGGTCAGCCAGGGACACCGCAACCGGCCGACTCAGAGGCGTGAGAGTGGTGCGGTCCCGAAAGAAGGAGCGAGACGCTCCAGAGTCAAGGGTGAAGGTGTGAGAGGCCGAAGCCGACACAGTACCTGAGAGGGCAAACTCACCAGTATTTGAGAGCACAGACGCACTGGCACCTAGAGCAGCAGCCTCACTAGCACCTGACGCAGCAGTACCAATGCCCGGGTCGGGCGGGAAACACCGGTAACAGTCATCCTCATCACTACCAGTCACAGCATACATAGCAGAAAGAATAGCATCAAAGTCAAGATCATAAATGGCTACACCAGCCCTAGACAGCTCCCCCCAGCGGGGGATCTCAGCGGCCTCCGGAAACTGCTGACGCCAGGCGTCGGTCAGGCGGCCAAAGCAGCGGCGGGCTGCGTGGGTGCCTCCACACCTCTCCCCCGCACGGTCACCGGTGCGAAGAACGTAGGGGCAGGGACCAAACGCACCACCACGCTGACGCTGCAAGTACCACTCACGGAGCTGCTGAGGGGCGGGGATGGTGCGAGAGCGCTGCTGCTGCTGCTGCTGTTGCTGCTGCTGGCGCTGGCCACCCCCAGAGCTGCTCCGCTGAGACGAGCCACTCCGACCCCCGCCGCCACCGCCACTCCCGCCTCCACCGCCACCCCCGTCTCCACCGCCACCGCCCCCATCGGTACCCTCGCCCCCGCCTCCTCCGCTACCGCCTCCGCCGCCACCTCCGCCTCCACCGCCTCCACCAGTACCTCCACTCCCGCCACCACCTCCACCGCCACCCCCACTCCCTCCGCCACCCCCACCTCCTCCGCCACTGCCCCCTCTAGCTCCACCCGCTCCCTTGCCCCCCTTGCCCTTGCCATTGCGGCGTCTACCGCAGGGGGCAGACGCCGCACCGACCGACTCAAAACCAGCGAGGTCGGCCGCAGCGGCAGAGGCGACAGAGGGCAGCAGGGGGGAAGGAGAACACCCCTCAAAGATGGGGGTGCGAGGGTCACCCCGAGAGGCCCCTACAGCGACGATGCTCTTCTCAGCCGCTAGCAGGGACTCCTCAAGGAGGTCGACAGTGAGGGTGGTGGGACAGACAGAGAGAAACTGGTCCCTAACGACACGAAGGGACTCAGGGAGACGGGTGACGAGAAAGTAGAGAGTGATGTACATGGGAGGAGGGTTTGCGGCGCGGAACTCAGCAGGAAGGGCAGCGCGGTAGCGAGCGTCACTAGCGCGGAGGTGGGTAACGAGGTCAGCGACAGTGGGAAAGGCAGCGAGGTCAGGGAAGAGAAACGGTAGCATGAGGCGGCTCAGCGTAGCGGAGGAAGGGGAGGAGTAGCGTGCAACTACAGCGTCGTACAAGGCCTGAGCGGTCTTGCACTGACTAAAGTGGGCACGCTCTGAGGAAGGGAGGTGGCGACGCACAGCAAGACGTGCAGCAGCATCGCGTGTGGCCCACTTGGAGCGAACAGCAGGGTCAGCATCAGCAGGAGGGGCAGGGACAGCTCCAGAGACAAATTCAAAGAGAGAAACCTCATCGATCGCATCGCACAGTAAGTACAGCTGCAGGTCCTCAATCCAGACTGGAAAGTCAATGGCGCGACCCTCAGCGTCAAAAGACAGGACACTGGGGGTGGCCATTGCAGCAGCTGATTGTCTCACCGGGCACGAAGAGTCGGGTAGCACAGCGGCTCAGCAACTCGGCAGAACAGCAGTTGCGCACGCCTCGGAGCAGCAGCAGCCACGCAGGAGCAGGAGCTCGGCTCCTCAGGTTGCCCGGGCGGTTGGGGCGGCTCGGGTTGCTGGGGCGGCGCGGGCGGCTCGGGCGGGTCTGCTGCACGGGCGGTTGGGGCGGCTCGGCTGTACGGGCGGCTCGTGCGGCGCGGGCGTCGCGACGGGCGGCTCGCTGGCGGCTCGCGGGCGGCTGCACAGGCGGCTCAGGGACGGCGGCGCGGGCGGCTCAGGGACGGCGGCCTGGGCGGTCGTGGGCGGCTCACGCTGGGCGAGTGCACGGGCGATGGTCTCAACCAATAGGAGCAATCGATGGGGGAAATGGTGGTGTTTTTGAGTGGGAGGGGCGAAATCAGTTCAGCCCCTTGATTTCGACCAATGGGAGCAAGGCGCATATAAACACTCGGTGTTCTGAGTTGGAGGGGCGAAATGAACATTGACCAATGGGAGCGGATGCTGGTCAAAACGGAAGCTTGACTTTGAACTGATCGAGATGAGCGAGAAGGTGTTCGTGCTGCGTTATTGATTCTGCAGCTGTAATTGGTTGATGTCAAACATATATCATACAGCTTGTCTAGGCTATAGTGGGGTAGACACTATGGGGTACAGTTTCCTAGGCTTTCCTACTTGTACCCAACCTTGTGCTAGTTCATCCATTCCTCGTTTCTTCACATGGTATAGAGTAGGTTCCCTAGTGGGAACACTTCCTTGGGCCCACCAATAATTTTTTTTCTGACCGAGGCGTCAGTCGCTCCTGCCCGAGGCGCGCCTTGTTCGCCGCCCTTCCATTTCCCTAGCGGCCCCTAGCGGCCTCGTCGCCGCCCCTACGCAGCCCCGTCGCCGCCCCTAACGGCCCCGTCGCCGCCCCTAGCGGCCCCGTCGCCGCCTCTCTCCCTACGCGGCCCCGTCGCCGCCCCTACGCGGCCCCGTCGCCGCCCCTACGCGGCCCTGTCGCCGCCCCTAGCGGACCCGTCGCTGCCCCTAGCGGCCCCGTCGCCGCTCCCCTTCCTACGCGGCCCCGTCGCCGCCGCTATGCGGCCCCGTCGCCGCCCCTACGCGGCGCTCTCGCCGCCCCTAGCGGCCCTGTCGCCATTCCCCTACCTACGCGGCCCCGTAGCCGTCCCTAGCGGCCTCGTCGCCGCCCCTACGTGGCCCTGACGCCGCCCCTAACGGCCCCGTCGCCGCCCCTAGCAGCCCCGTCGCCGCTCCCCTTCCTACGCGGCCCCGTCGCCGCCACTACACGGCCCCGTCGCCACCTCTACGCGACCTCGTAGCCGCCCCTAGCGGCCCCGTCGCCGCTCCCCTCCCTACGCGGCCCCGTCGCTGCCCCTAGCGGCCCCATCGCCGCCTTTGCCGGCCCCGTCGCTGCCTCTACCGAGCAGCCCAGCAGCTGAGCCGCCCAACAGCACAGCCACGGAGCCGCCCAGCAGCCGAGCCGCCGAGCCACCCGACAGCCGAGCCGCCCGACAGCCGAGCCGCCCGGCAGCCGAGCCGCCCAGCAGCCGAGCCGCCCAGCAGCCGAGCCGCCGAGCCGCCCGGCCGTCGAGCCGTTACTGTTCCTACCGGCGCGCCCCGGCCCTACTTACTCGTACTGGTGAGATCACTCCCTGCTAGGCCACTGCAATCATGGCTACCCCCAGTGTTCTTACCTTTGATGCTGAGGGTCGTGATGTTGACTTTAAGGTCTGGGTCGATGACCTCCAGCTGTTCCTATAGTGCGATAGGGCACACGGACTCTCCCTGTTCGATCTCACCTCTGGTGCCTCCCCTGCCCCGCGTGCTACTGCTGACAGCACTGTTCGCTCACAGTGGGCCACACGCGATGCTGCTGCCCGTCATGCAGTGCGTCGCCACTTACCGACAACTGAGCGTGCGCACTTTAGCCAGTACAATAGTGCTCAGACATTGTACGACGCTGTAGTTGCACGCTACTCTTCCCCTGCCACTACTGCGTTGAGCCGCCTCATGCTACCGTACCTCTTCCTTGACCTTGCTGCCTTTCCCACAGTCGCTGACCTCATTACGCACCTCCGCACTAGTGACACTCGCTACCGCGCTGCGCTTCCTGCTGAGTTCTATGCTAAGAACCCCCCCCCCCATGTACATCACCCTCTACTACATAGTCACCCGGCTCCCTGACTCCCTTCGCTTAGTCAGGGACCACTTCCTCTCAGTTTGCCCCACCACACTGACTGTTGACCTCCTCAAGGAGCGCCTCCTAGAAGCAGAGAAGAGCATAGTCGCTGTAGGAGCCTCTCGTGGTGACCCTCGCACCCCCATCTTTGAGGGGTGTTCCCCTTCCCCCCTCTTGCCCTTTGTTGCTTCTGCTGCTGCGGCCGACCTCGTTGGTTTCAAGTCGGTCGGCGCTGCGTCAACCCCTAGCGGGAGACGCCGCACCAGCAAGGGGGGCAAGAGCGCTGGAGGGGCTGGCGGGGGTGGTGGAGGTGGTGGTGGAGGCAGTGGAGGGGGTGAGGGTGGTGGTGGGAGTGGTGGCGGGGGTGGCGGTGTCGGTGGCAGCAGTGGAGGCGGAGGAGGCGGCGGCGGTGGCGGAGGGAGCGGAGGCGGCGGAGGTGGTGGAGGCGGCGGAGGTGGCGGAGGCGGCGGAGGTGGCGGAGGCGGCGGAGGTGGCGGAGGCAGTGGAGGTGGCGGAGGCGGCGGAGGTGGCGGAGGCGGCGGTAGCAGCAGTGGAGCTGGTCGCGGCTCTGCGCAGAGGAGTGGGTCCGGTGGTGGTCCGCGCCAGCAGCAGCAGCTCAGTCGTGAGACCCTGTCCCCTCAGCAGCTTCGTGAGTGGTACGCTGCGCGTCAGCGCGGTGGGGGTACTGATCCCTGCACCTACTTCCTCCATACCGGCGACCGCGCTGGTGAGCAGTGAGGGGGCCCGCACTCCACCCAGCGCTGCTTCGGCCGACTGACGGACGCGTGGCGTCACCAGTTCCCTGGGGCCTCTGCGATCCCTCGCTGGGGAGAGCTATCTAGGGCGGGGGTTGCTACCTTTGATCTTGATTATGATGCTATTCTTGCTGCCATGTATGGTGTGTCTGATAGTGATAAGGGTGACTGTTACCTCTGTGTTCCGCCTGACCCGGGCATTGAGGCTGCTGCTCTAGGTGCTGGTGAGGCTGCTGCTCTAGGTGCTAGTGCGTCTGCTGCCCCAGGTGCTGATGATTCTGCTCTCTCAGGTACTACGTCAGCTCAGGCCTTACACACCTTCACCCTTGACTCGGGTGCTTCCCGCTCCTTCTTTCGAGACCGCACCACACTTACGCCGCTTAGTCGGCCGGTAGCGGTCTCCCTGGCGGACCCCTCTGGGGGTCCTGTCCTTGCTAGCTTCTCCACTGTCTTACGGTTCCCCGCAACCCCCTCTGGCACACTGTCAGGTCTCTACCTCCCCTCGTTCTCTACGAACTTGGTGAGTGGAGCTGATCTACAGGATAGGGGGGTTGACCAGTTCATTCCTGCGAGTCAGCAGATGACCCACTGCACGTGTGCTCGGACCGGCCGACACTTGGCCACGTTCACCCGTCGGCCGGGGTCGAGCGTGTACACATTTACTACTGAGTCTCCTCCGGCTGTTGAGTCTGGCCAGGTAGCTGCGTCGAGTCAGGTGTTTGCTGCAGCGTTCAGGTCTGACCCTGAATCTGCTCCCTGCTCGTGTTGTCTCCTATCCCTCCAGACTCTCCTTTGGCACCACCGCCTTGGTCACCCCTCCCTGCCTCATCTCCGAGTCATGGCCTCCCGTGTCCTTGTCTCTGGTCTCCCCGGTCTCTCCCTCCCCTATCTCAGGGTCCTGCCCCGTCAGGTGTGTCCCAGGTAGACGTAGACGAGCCTGTCGAGGTAGCTGTTGACTCTGGTGCTGCTACAGGTGCTGAGCCTGCGAGTGCCGGGTCTGGAGGTGCTAAGCCTGGGGGTCCGGAGCCTGGGGGTGCTGAGTCCAGGGGTGCGGAGCCTGGGAGTGCTGAGCCTGGGGGTGCTGAGAGTGGGGGTGCTGAGCCTGGAGGTGCTGAGTCTGGGGGTGCTGAGCCTGGGGGTGCTGAGCCTGGGGGTGCAGAGCCTGGGGGTGCTGGGTCTGCTCGTGTGGCCTCTCGCGGTGCTTCGTCGAGGCGGGAGCCACTCTCTACGCAAGAGCTGCGTGAGTGGTTTGCCCGGCGCTGGAGCAATGCTGCTGGAGCTGGAGGTACTACTGTTGCTGCTGGTCCCGGAGGTGCTCCTACTGGCGGTTCTTGAGGTGCTGGGACTAAGGGTGCTGCTGGGACTACTAGGGGTACTGCTGGAGCTGCTGGCGGTACTGGAGCTGCCGGTCCTGATGAAGTTGGTGCTGCTGGAGTTGCTAGAGCTGGAGTCGCTGGGGGTGTTGGCGCTTGTGGTGCTGCTGGCGCTGGTACGTTTGAGGGTGCTGGAGTTGGCGCTGTTGGAGCTGGAGGTGCTGCTGGCGCTGGTGCTTCTGCTGGGGGTACTGGTGCAATCCCTGCTGGTTCTGGAGGCGCTGCGCGGCCGCGGCCGTACTTCGTTGCGCTCCTTGAGCAGGTTGTTAGTCTCCCGCCCACTACTGGTCCTGCTCCTCCCTTAGAGTGTCCACAGCCTGTCCAGTCGCGGTCACAGCTACAGCCCGCCTCCCCCCTACCTGCTCCTTCTCCCTACGATGGCATACTGGAGGTCTTGCTGAGCGTTGTGAGCCTGCGTCTCGTCCTGCGTCGCCTGTTCGTGCTACTCGCACTGGTGGTCGTGCTCCGCGTCCGCGTCCTCCTGCGGTCCCAGGCACGCAGCAGATGGCACTGCGTCCTTCCACTGCTCCTCTGCGTGTCCCGTTGCCGTCTCCTCCAGAGTCCTCTCTTCCTGTCCTTGCTGACTCGGAGTTGGACTCTCTTTGTGCTGCCAGTCCTACTGTCACGCGTCTCCTGGCTACTGTTGTCACCGACCCTTCCTTTGAGTCCACTGCTGCGTCTGCCTTGGTTGCTGAGCTTGTCGACTTTGCTGCTCGCTGTCGTCTAGACTACGCCGCTAGTCTTGTTGCTGAGTCTGAGTCGGTCCATCCTCCGTCCGTCGGGGGTGAGTGTGCTCTTAGCACGGACGTCCTTAAGGACAGGCAAGAGGAGTTCCAGTGTTTTGCTGCTACCTTGCCTCATCTCATGTCCACGCTGATTGCCCCTGAGGGAGACCCGGATGCACCAAACATCCTGACTCCTTGATCGTATGCTGAGGCGATCGAGGGTCCCTACTCCTCACACTGGTAGTCAGCCATGGACGCAGAGATGGCTTCCTCAAAGTCCACAGGCACCTACGTCGACGAGGTTCCCCCACCTGGGGCGAACATCGTCAGTGGCATGTGGATTTTCAGGGTGAAGCGGCCGCCGGGTTCTCCGCCTGTCTTCAAGGCGCGTTACGTGGCTCGAGGCTTCAGTCAGCGGCAGGGAGTTGGACTACTTTCAGACCTTCTCTCCCACCCCGAAGATGACCACTCTTCGGGTGCTGCTGCACATAGCCGCTCAGCGCGACTACGAGCTTCACTCTCTTGACTTCAGCATAGCTTTCCTGCAGGGTAGCCTGCACGAGGAGATCTGGCTATACTGGGTCGTTTCCTCCTGGTACCCAGTGGAGCCTCCGGCGGCCAGTCTACGGTCTCCGCCAGGTGCCCCGTGAGTGGCACGACACACTGAGGACTACACTTGCGGCTCTTGGGTTTGCTCCTTCTACAGCCGAACCGTCGCTGTTTCTGCGCACCGACACCTCTTTGCCGCCGTTCTACATCCTCGTGTACGTCGACGACTTGGTCTTTGCCACTGCTGATAGTGCTGGACTCGCCCACGTGAAGTCCGTGCTGCAGAAGAGACACACGTGCACAGACCTGGGTGAACTGCGCAGCTACCTTGGCTTGCAGATCACTCGGGACAGAGCACAGCGCAGGGTGCAGTACGTCGGGCATGGGGCTAGTGCTTGGAGGGCGACGTCAAGTGGTCCTCATAGGTTACGCAGACGCTTATTGGGCTGACGACCAGGCTACGCAGCGGTCGTCACAGGATTACACCTTCAGCCTTGGCTCCGGCTCTGTTTCGTGGCGGTCTACCTGCTCGTCTTCTGTTTTCGGCTCCAGCTGTGAGGCTGAGATCTACGCGGGGGGCATGGCTGCACAGGAGCTACGCTAGCTCACCTACCTACCTGCACAGCCGCCTTGTTCTCCTCTAAATCTGTACGTAGACAACAAGGCCATGCTGGCCTTGTGTCAGGAGCACAGATTGGAGCACAGAACGAAGCACATTGCTCTCCGCTACTTCCTTGCTCGTGAGCTGTAGCAGCGTGGTCAACTGCGCCTTGCTTATGTGGCCTCTGAGGCCAACACTGCTGATATCTTTACCAAGGCACTTCCGCCTGGTGATCGTCAGCGCTTCTGTACTATGCTAGGTCTGGTGCCTACTTGGCCTCACTTGCTCATTTCTTGACCTTGCTTGTACTGTGATCTTTCTATACCTGCACTTGCCTGTGTACCTTTATATATTATCTTGCATGTGAACTGGCCTTGTGGCCTTACTCTTGTGCTCGGATTGTGTGGTGACGTTGTGATCCACCCTGAGCTTGCTTTGCTTTCCTTGACTGGTCTTGTGACCTCTTGTTCTCCCCCACTTTGCCTATGGGGGTGTGTCAAAAATATATCATATAGCTTGTCTAGGCTATAGTGGGGTAGACACTATGGGGTATAGTTTCCTAGGGTTTCCTACTTGTACCCAACCTTGTGCTAGTTCATCCATTCCTCGTTTCTTCACAGTCGATGCTCAGAGGAGCGTGTTCATCTTGCTAATGCGGGAAAAGCTGTTCGCGCCACGTGGTAAATAATGGGATCGTTACCCGTTGGCGACTCGCTTATTAGCGCTGATGGCGAGGGCGGCGAGTTTTCAAGGGACTTCCGAACGGCCATTTTCAGGTGCATGCAACTTAGTCAAGGCGCTCTATTCAGGTGCATGCCAGGTTGCGTACACTATTCTCAGGTTAAACTATGTCTCTGTAATTTATACGCTATTTAAGATTCGATTAAAATTGACACAAAAGGTCTGAAATAGAGGCAATTTCGGGCTATGCAAATCGGGGTCGGAATGGTTGGCTGTTGATGATGCATTTTCTGACGTCACTTAGGGCAATGATTGCATTTCTGCCCAATTTCTACGCAAATCATTGCTTCGTACCTAGTGCTCTGGAGCTTCAAGGTGATTGGGACGAGCGCTCATCCGCGGGGTACTATATCTTATCTCAAAGCCTGGACCTTGCTCAACGACAACACATCATGCACTTACTCCCGGAGGACGAGTGTGGTCCCAAGGCATGGGCCGTACTCAAGAACCTCCATGCCCCCACCTCAGTTGTTGCCACACTCATGTTGGAGAGGGAGCTCTCCACCCTTCGTCTCAGTGAAGGAGAACCCGTCCAGCCCATCTTGGACAAGATGAGGGAACTCTACGCTAAGCTCGCCATCGCCGGAATCACCTACCCCGAGCAAACCAAGTGTGTGAAGATGATGTCGCTGTTGCCGGAGTCATGGATGATCTTCACGAGTGGCGTCAGCCTTCCCCAAAACAAGGATCAGTGGAGGTTGGAATGGATCCGTACCAAGATCCTTGAAGAGGACTTCCGGAGGCGTCAATTGAGAGGAGGTGACGAGGGGAGCAGCAGCTATGCCATGCAAGGAGGAAGGAGTGTCAAGAATAATATATATTTCTATATATTGTTTTGTAACTACCTGTAGTGTAGACTACTGTAGTTATATAATGTTCTGTTTGGTGGTGCACCTTTCCTTCTTGCCTATTTGTACTCCTCGCTCTATAGTGAAATCACTCACTTTTCTTGAAACTTTTCTTGACTTACCTAAACCCACTCGAGCTCAACTCTCCTCCTAACTAGCTATGGCTCCTTAGCCTAGCTCTAATTT